TGAAAACCCACAAGCATGCATTATAAGTAATGTATGCTGTATTTTCCAAAATATTATATTTCTAAAGTATTATATTTTTCTATAATATATTTTCAGTATGTTATATTTCAGTATAATGATTAGCAGTAGAAACTTGAAGAGAAGTAATTAAGTTAATTACTTAAGTAATTAAGATAAGCACAAAAGATATATTTAAAAATTTGAGGAAGTGGCAAATACTTTTTAGATTATTCTTTCCTACACTAGAATATGAACTGGCTAGCATAAAATTATGGGACATAACCTTTTTAGAAGGGGAAACTCCAAGAAAATTATTTCAGAAAGACAGCCAATATAAACAAAATGAAATCCATAAACTCAAAGACAAAAAACAAATACTTGCTAAAGTTCTGAGTTGAACTGAAAAAATAATCAGAATAATGAACAAGACTGTTGGAAGGAAAATGAAAAATACCTGTGACAGATAAGATGAATGAGGTAAGGATACATTTTTCATTAAGGATATATCTCAAAACCATGAAGTTGAGTATGTACAAAGTACATAATAACCTCTATGAAGCATTCTTGCCAAAAATATTGAACCTAAATCAAATCAAGCCTTTCAAACTTAAATATGTACAGAGTGAAACTATTTGTATAAAATTAGGGAAACGTAAATTATACTATAAAATGTTTATGGCTACCCACATATGTACTAAAAATATATAAACATGCATCGGAATAATAACATCAATATCAAGATAGTAGTTAACCTGAGAAGGAAGAGGAGAGGAATTGGAGAGGAGTAGACAAGGGGATATAATTATATCTGTAATATTTATATCTTAAGATAGATGTTAAGTGTTTTTTTTTTATTGTTTTGTATGCCTGAAATGTTTGTTATTTTTTTTAAAAAGCCCCTGGGAATGAATTTGGTAATTTCAACAGACAGCAGAGGGGCCATAGAATTACTTAACACCTATCAGGCTTCTGTTTCTCCATCAAGGATCATGACCTTCAAATTGGGAATGGTAGGACAAACATTAATATGAGGAAATTAAATTTCAGGACATACAAGGAGATAGTAAAAGAGTAACTACTTGCCTTAAATGAGTGCAAGTCTTCGTACCCAGATAAAATTGCTTGAAGGATCCTGAATTTCAGGCAGATTAGCCACAGGGCCCCTGGAGGCCATTTTTAAGGAGTGTGACTCATGCCTAAGACTGGCAAATATCCAAATTTTCAAAAACTGAAAAAAGATGAACTGTGGAATTAGGCTGAAAAGCTTGACATGGATCCCTGGCAAAATTCCAGCATTAATTATTTTAGGAGATTATTTATGAGGTTGTATGAGATTGGGGTTAACCAAGAAAAATGTAAATAAATTATATCTCAATTGGACTAGATTATTAAAGTCATATACTAAGGATCTGCTGTGGAAGTAAAGTATCTTCAAATCAGCAAAGGTTATACCAAAGTCTCTCATAAATATACCCTGTGAGTATATGTGTACTGGACGCTAGTACTGTTAAGTAGATTGATATCAGGAAGAAAGACTACAGTCTGAAGAGTGGGTGACCATGCATAGCATCTTTCCTGCAGCCTCTTGCTCAGTGCCTTTGTGCAGTATTCACTGAACTCAGTTTCAGAATTAGGGACTTAGGGATCAGTCTAATCAAAACCCAATTTCCTTTAGAGGAGAAGAATACATTTGTATTAAATTGGAGGATTGAAGGAATTTTTTTTATATAATGATCATTATTTAGCAATTATTATGAGCCAGGCACATAAACCGTATATTGTACTTTCACTCTCACAGTGAGCTGAGATTAAAGGATTTATTGTTACTGTTTTACAGATGCAGCAATTGAGATGCAAAGGAGTTAAATGACTTGACCAAAATATCAAGCTAGTGAGTGGCAGAGCCAGGAATCAGATCTTCAGACCATAAGATTGATGAACTTTCCATAATACCATTTTATAACTAATGTGCCTAGTACTTTCTAACCTCTTTTGTTTTTGAATAAACAAAAGCCCTGATCAGGCTGGAGGGACTGCTTTTTATCAAAATAGCCCAAGTGTGAGATCCAAGACTCTGGAGTCATTAGTTTCTCTTCTAATTTTATCCTCCTTTGTAGTTTTAGACAAAATTTTAATCTCTTGGCCCTCAGGTTTCTCAAGTGTGAAATGAACGAATTGTACTTGGTCATCACTGCGGTATCTTTCAGACTTGCAATTCTATTATTTTAATGATGAAATTTGATGCCAGGTGATGTGTTAAATGATTTCTGTATATTGTTTCATTTAATCCTCTTAACGACTCCGAAAATTAGGTATTCACCCTGGACCTATTTTACAGTTGGGGAAACTGGAGCACGATGTATACCTTGCTTAGGTTCTTATGCACACAGGTACCAAGTGGTTTAGCCTGGATTCAATCCCATAATTAATTTTATTTCATTTTGATAAGCTTTAAAAGAAGTTATGACCAGTCACAAAGCAATCACTCTTCCTGTGAAAGGAACCAGGACTCCTTGGAGAAATGGCTGATTCCAGGTCTGGAGCAGGAAATATACAAAATGAGCCTGAAATATCTTGTGCTGCCAGAAGGCAAGAAAACCATCAAAGACTCTTAGAGTTAGATGAAAAGGGCACAGGAAATAAAATAAAGGGACTCCCACTGGCCAAAGATGGAATCATTTGAACATCAAGAAGAAAAAGAAAAAAAAAAAGTGCAATTGATTAAGATTCCTTGAATGTTCTTTAAAAATCCATGAGTTAATGATGCTCAGAAAGAGGAAACAACAAAAAATATTAGTTACCAATTGCTGCATAACAAATTACCCCCAAATTTAGAATCAAATATTGAATATTTATTTTCTCACAGTCTCTACAGGTCAGGAATCTGAGAGCAGTTTAGGGGTTGGTTCTAGTTCTGTCTTAAGGTTGCAGCCAAGATGTTGACCCAGGCTGCAGTCAACTGAAGGCTTGACAGGGAGCTGACGAATCCACTTCTAGACTCACTCATATGGCTGTTGGCAGGAGGCTTTAGTTCCTCACCAGCTGGGTCTCACTTTCAACCTGGCAGCTGGCTTCCCCTAGAGTGAGTGATCTGAGAGAAAAAAAGAGAGACCAAGATAGAAGCCACAGTTTCTTTTTCTTCTTCTTTTTTTTTTATTGGGGTACAGTTGCTTTACAATGTTGTGTGTGTTTCTGCTGTATCAGCTGTGTATATACATATATCCCCTCTTTTTTGGATTTCCTTCCCATTTAGGTCACCACAGAGCATTGAGTAGAGTTCCCTGTGCTGTACAGTAGGTTGTCATTAGTTATCTAGTTTATACATAGTATCAATAGTGTAGATATGTCAATCCCAATCTCCCAATTCATCCCACCCCTCCTTTCCCCCCTTGATGTCCATACGTCTGTGTCTCTATTTCTGCTTTGCACATAGGTTCATCTGTACCATTTTTCTAGATTCCACATATATGCATTAATATACGATATCTGTTTTTCTGACTTACTTCACTCTGTATGACAGTCTCTAGTTCCATCCATGTCTCTGCAAATGGCACAATTTCGTTCTTTTTTATGGTTGAGTAATATTCCATCGTATATATGTACCACATCTTCTTTATGCACTCTTCTGTTGATGGACATTTGGGTTGCTTCCATGCCCTGGCTATTGTAAACAGTGCTTCAGTGAACACTGGGGTGCCACAGTTTCTTTTATTACCTAATATTAGAAGTAACATAACATCATTTCTGCCATACTCAATTGGTCACACAAACCAACACTGGTAAAATGTAGGAAGGAGATACACAAGAGTATGAATACTCGAAGACAGTGCTCATTGATGGCCATTTTGAAGAATGGCTAATGTGTCAGTGGCCTTGGCACCTAGGGCACAACTTTTTACCCTGAAAATTAGCAATTAAATAGAAAAGTAAACATTTATTTTGTCTTTCCTGTTTGAACTTACATTTCAGGATAACCAAATAACCCTGAATTGATAGGTTAATGAGATAAAATCCTTGTTTAAAAAGAAATTCCGGGCTTCCCTGGTGGCGCAGTGGTTGAGAGTCCACCTGCCGATGCAGGGGACACGGGTTCGTGCCCCGGTCCGGGAAGATCCCACATGCCGCGGAGCGGCTGGGCCCGTGAGCCATGGCCACTGAGCCTGCGCGTCCGGAGCCTGTGCTCCGCAACGGGAGAGGCCACAACAGTGAGAGGCCCGCGTACCACAAAAAAAAATAAATAAAACAAAAAAAAAGAAATTCCAACTCATAAATGTGAAAAAAATATTGAATTAGAAAATCCCAGTTCTGCAATAAAATGGTTGATTCAGGCAAAGATCATCAGTAGATGAAACCACCAGATAAAAGGTTGATGAGGAGCTTTACATGGAGGGATCCAACTAGCAAGTGCTGATTCATTGATCAATCTTAGCATCACAAAGAGTGAAATAATGACATTATATGCCTCCTGATATAAAGCAAAAAGAAGTACGTAGCACCACGTAAGAATGCTTACCCATAAAGGTAAACCAAACTCTAAACCTTTAGAGCTAACATCTAGTTAACAAATACAAGGCTAGAGAAACAAATTAAATGAGGATGCAAACAGAGAAAGCCAGCATGTGGAACATTCAGGACAATTGACCCAATTTACTCAATGCGGGGAAAAGTGAAAGATGGAGGAGCTATTCTAGATCTAAATTTAAAGAGGATTAAGAGAAATAACCAAATAAAGTATGTAGACTTTAGATCTTGATTCAAAAACCCAGCGTATTTTATATATTTGGGAGATTTTAATATGGACTCAGTATTAGATGGTACCCAGGAATTATTTTAATTTTGTTAGGTGGGATAATGACATTGTGGTTCTGTTTTAAGAGATGCATTCTGAAGAACAGGAAATAACACGTTCGGAGTCTGCGGAGGCTTTCTAGGGAAATTCCTCGACCAGCGAGTTGAGGTTTCCTAGAAAGTCACCGGAAATGATTATTGAAGGACTAGGAAGTGGAGCTAGGACAGGTTTCTCTATTTTCTCATTTTTAGAGGAGAATGTCGGCAGGAAGGTCTGTGTCTTCAGCCAGCGTGGGACGGGACTTTAGCCGAGGGGCTCCCAGGCTGCCACTGGTGTCTCCGAACCCGCCGAGGTGCGGCTGGGCGGACCCTGGCACCACCACCTGGTTCACTTAAATACACCCCTTCCCTGGGGCCCGGGACGGCTGGCGGGGACGGGGCGGGGCTTTGGAGCCCGGTCCGCCGGGAGCTGGGGACCGCCGCGGGTTCCTGCCAAACAAGGGCCTTTTCCTCCTGCATTCCTAACTCCCTCCCGCTCTTCTTGGCTCTCAGCAGCCTCTTACCCTTTTTTTTTTTTTCATTTATTTTCCTCCCCAGCATCCACTCGTACATTCATTCATTCAGCCAATTTCTAGCTGAGCGCCTACTGGTGCAGGCACTGTTTTAGAAGTTGGGAATACAGCAGTGAACAAAATAGACAAAAATCCCTGCCCTCAAAAGCCTGGGAGCCTACATTTTAGTGAAGGGGAGATCTACAATAAACAATAGAAAGAATATAAGTTAACTTATGCACCATGTTGGAAAGTGATAAAGTGCTATATAGGAAGGTAAGGCATGTCAGGATTTGAAGGAGGGGGTAGGCTGTAATTTTAAATAGGGGACCTAGAGTAGGTTTCCTTGGGAGGATTATGTACAAGAAAACAGTTGAAGGAAGCAAGATTATTCATCGTGAGGGTAACTTGAGGTGGAGGGGACAGCCAGTACAAAGGCCCTAAAATGGAAATGTGCCTAAAAAGGAAGAGAAAGGTCTGTGTGACTGAAGAGGGTTGAATGAGGGGAAGAATAGTAGGAGAGGTAATAGCACACCCTATAGACTTGTATGCCATTGTAAGGACTTAAGCTTTTATTTTGAATGAACAAGAGAGATTCAAAAGGCACATTCTTTAGGGCCTTTTATGTTACTCTTTATTTTGAGTAAGATGGACCCATTGAGGGGTTTTAAGCAGAGAGATGAAATAATCCAGCTTAAGTTTTAAATGGCCTACTCTGTTGTATTGAGGATAGAAGCAGGAGACCAGCTGGACGGCTAACGTAATACTGCAGGGCAATGCAGACAATGGTGGCTTGGGACAAGATAGTGGCAGTGGAGGTTGTATTCTGGATATATTATCATTTTCGGTTTATCTTCCCCTGCTCCCTCATCTCCCATAGATACCTCAGATTCTCAGTGATTCCTTCTTTTTGCTTTGGTCACATTCCTCTCTTTTCTCCTCCCTTCATCGAATATGCAGGAAAATAAGGTATGGGATTACCACTAGCTTAGTACTGCTGATGAACCCCAAATCCAGGGCAGTATTTGACACATCAAGCCAAAAAGCAGCTGCCCTGTGGGTCAGGAGAGGCCCTTTGGCTGGCACCATCAAGGCTTAAATCCCTGAAAGGAGGCTGGTATCCACTGGAGCCACTTCAAACTGGTCCAGGCAAAGCCACGGTTGACTTTGGGAGCTGGATCCAACCAGCAGAGAAGAAACCGGGACAGTGTTAGAAGACCGGAAAAGAAAGCTGGGTAAAAAGATGCAGCAGGTAAAAAGAGGAGTGTCTGCAGTATATCACAAAGAGGAAGAACTGAGCCCAAGAAAGGAGGAAAGCAGTGGGAGTGTGGTGGGCCTGGATTGACCTTGTGGAAGTGTTCTCCTTCAAAATACTTTTTTTCCTGGATGGCCTGGTGATCATTTTACATTATAGAACAATTGGATGCCATTTCTGTTTTTCATAAGGTATATCAGGGACTGAGTCCCTGATTTTCTCACCCCTCTTGGTAGTTCTGGGAGTTGATTTCCATGAACAGAACTTCATAGTTGGTTGCAGCTTCCCCTACATTTTCCATCCCTCCATAACCTCTCCAAATGTATTCTTTTCCTTGCAATAGGTGGTGGTATCAGATGAGACTCCAGGACCATCAAACCAGCTCTGTATCCGTGATACCAAGCTCCTGCAGGAAAGAGGTAATGCACACAGGGTATTGTGACAGGAGTTATGGCAGCTGAAAATGGGGCAGGGACACAGACTAAGTGGGAGATGCTTCCTGGGACCTGGAAATATGCTCATTATTGAGTATTTATAGGAAATCTGTTATTTCTATACTAGGCTTGGCTCGGTATTGAGAGGAACTAAATTATTAGGTTTCTACCCTCATCTTAAACCAAATTTGGAAAAAAATAAAGATTCATAAAAAAAGATTCTTCAAAGCAATTTATGAAAGATATTGAATGTATTCATTCACTTATTATATGTACAACTTTATGTATGATAAGTAGCTTACATATGTGTACATGAATATTTGCACGTATAAAACTTGTGGTATAATACAGTAACTCCTCCCAACCACAATTTTACCAACATGTAAAATTTGAGTGTAGGTAATTTTATTTCTGTACCTGTGTTAACCCTGAGATTTTTAAATTAAGTATAGGTATACCTGAGAAATAGAAGATAAAGCCATGGCAAAAGAAGGAGAAAAGGTATTGTCATGAAGCTTTGAGAAGAATAAAGGAAGATGGGGAAATGTGGGGCTGGGCTTTAAAAATGCTCTTTGGTGGCATATATGAAGAGAAAAGTGGATAAGATTTGTATAGAAGTGGCTGATGGTATTTAACAATTCTGGAGTCATAAAATTAGACTCTGAAAGGCACAGACTTTTAGAGGACTAGGCCCCTGGACACCCCAAAAATAGGCTTTTAGTATGTATTACCTGCAAAGAAAAAATACGTAAAATGAATTTCTAAGCATATTATTGGAACTTCCAGAAGAGAAATCTTGAAATTTCCACTGTATAGGTAATCATAAATGAAAATTAATAATATAGGACATATTTATCACAAATTTAGGAGAGGTAGAAAATAATGAATATTGCTTAACTTCGTTGTTCATTTTATTTCATTTTTTAAAATATATATAATTTTATGGTTCACATCTGACCTGAGTATCCAAGTCCTCTTTTTCTCAAAAGATCTTGAATTCTCTTCCTATAGGTGATTTTCAGGGCCATAAAGTTTACAGTTACTTAACATAAAATGTAAATGAGTTAATCTCGCCCTGGATAATATCTATACACTGCTTTAACAAATAGTTTTGTTATGGGCTGAATGTTTGTGTCCCCTCAAAATTCGTATGTTGAAGCTCTAACCCACCCCGCAATGTGATGATATTTAGAGGTGAGGCCTTTGAGAAGTAATCATGTTTAGATGAAGTCATAAGGGTGGGGACCCAGTGATGAGATTAGTGTCCTCAGAAATGGAAGAGACCAGAGCTTTCACTCTCTCCCACAGGTGAATTCCTGCTAGGGAATTCCCCCAAGTTCATTTTTAACTTGAGGGCAGAAACTGACCTTTCAAATTCTGAGGCTAAAAAATAAAGTTTAAGAATCACTACAGTGGGGGGAATTCCCTGGCGGTCCAGTGGTTAGAACTTTTGCTGCCGTGGCCAGGTTTGCTTGGGGAACTAGGATCCCACAAGCCTCAGCGAGGCTAGGAAAAAAAAAATCACTGAAGTGGTTACCAGGGGCTCGGGAGAGGGAAAAATAAGGAGTTGTTGTTTAATGGGTATAGAGTTTCAGTTTCGCAAGATGAAAAAGTTCTGGAGATCTATTATGCAACATTGTGAATATTTTTAACACTATTGAGCTGTACACTTAAAAATGGTTAAAATGGTAAATTTCATATTATATGTTTTTTACCACAATTAAAAACAGTTTTTAATGTGATGAACACTTAGGGGAAAAAAAGCCATGACAAGGTAACAAAACTTTCCTAATTTATGAAGAAGGTATGGTAAAAATCCAATTGGATGTATATGGAGGAGAGTTTGGGTTAGGGTGTGCTTTGTCAAAAATTTAAGACTTATACATTTTACTGTATGTAAATTTTACTTCAGAAGCAGGAATGTAAACAAATATTGAACTCTAGTTAATGATATGTATCATAAAGTGTTAGGGGTGAAGTATGCTGATGTCTTCAACTTACTTTGAAATGCAACAAAATATAAAATGAATTTATGGACAGAGACACGGATAGTTAGATGGACAGATATGTGATAAAGCAAATATTGCAAAATGTTAATTGTAGAATGTAAGTGGTGAGTATATGGATGTTTCCTCTACAGTTCTTTCAACTTTTCTGTATATTTGAAAATGTTCATTATAAAATGTTGATTGAAAAAAACCCAATTAGGAGGTTTAAGTTTATTGATGTTATAAGGAAAAGAACTGTTATGGAACATTTGAGAGCAAAACATGTATCTGCTGTGAGCTCTGTGCCTTCCAGGTGGTTTGGGAACTTTTTGAGACAAAGAGTTATAAAGTAACAGGCTTTCAGAGGAGATAGTGAGAAAACTGTGTGGAACCCACAATGATTGAACACAGGCCTGTTCTTGATCAAAAGCTAAGGGTGGCCTAGACCAAAGAAAAGTCTTCTTGGCCTATTTCTGTGGAAAGAAGCCAGTTTACTCCTAAATTGAGGTTTTGGTAAAATTGAAATGATAGTTTTGGGGTCCTGAGGCCAAAGGGTTATCCTAGAGACTTACCAGTAGATGATTTCAGACCAGAAAGGAATGGTCTTGGACTTGGGAATATGTTGATGACTATCAAGAAAGATAAACCACCATAAACACTGAAGCTACAGAGAGGCTGAGCTGGATTGCAAGGAATAAAACAGGGCCCCATTAATCAGTAATGTGAAACTGTACTTCTTGCCCAATCCATATGAATTATACCTAGTCACGTGTACACTCTGAGAAAGTTTCTTTTGCATTTTAAAAGCTGTGTGTGCTCTGCTATGCTGGGAGGGCAGTTGGGGGGAAGCGGAATCACTTAATACTAGGGAATTAACAGGAAAGAGACTCAGAATCAAAGGGGGTAAGTGATTTTCTCTAAGAAGAACAAGGGAAAAATTTTTTCTAGTAAACTAACTTGAGTTTGACCAGCTATTAAGTTACCTAAAGAAAAAAGCTTTGGGCCTATCCCTGGATATTTCTGATCCATTCCTCTCCTTCATTCGTTTCCCTCCACCTCCACCCCAAGTCGTTTTGGACAAAATGACTTCAACGTTCTAATATAGGAAGCCAGGTTATCGTATAAGCTGGGAGTCAGTGATTTGGGCCATTTGGGGAGGGTGTAAGGTATTCTAGGATGAAGAGAGACCAGAGAAAAAGGTGTAGTAGGTGAGAGAGAAGAAGAACGCACTTACAGTCGGCTTGGCTGCTGGCCAGGGCCTGATACCCCAAACTGGAAACTGAGACTAGAGGAATAATGGAGAAGGAGGATACTGTAATGCAGTAGACTTAATCCCTAGGTTAGAGCTTCGGAAGCTTCTACATTTGGGGAGGAGAGGATGAAAGCAGAAGGTTTCAACACTGTGCTGAATTGACTCTTGGCTTATTTCTCTTCTCTCAGCTCTGCCATCTCCTCATTGTCCTGCCTTTGCCGAAGATGGAAGCCAAGGAAGCCTGCCAGGAGCAAAAATCATACTGATGAGCCAGTCTCAAGTGAGCTAAGACCCCTTCCTTCCCTCCTGGAAATATATCACTGCCTCCTAAATGTGGCCTTATTTTCACTGCCTTCCCTGGCTATGCACCTCCCAAGTCCACGTGCTCCCTCTCATAAGGGATACTTTGTTGGGTGACAAACCATTTGTGGATTGTTTCCTCTTTCGTTATTTTTTGCTATTGAAAGCTGATGCTACCTTTCACCTCATCCCCAAATATACACGAAACAGTAACAGCCTTTCACTTCTGTAAACCTCCCTACAAATTCCTTTCTTCTGCCTCTGTTTCCTGAGGGAACTATGGAGTTTTCTCCAGGACAGCAGGGACATATTGTTTCAGGAGGCAGTGACATTTGAGGATGTAGCTGTGAATTTCAGTAATGAGGAGTGGCAGTGTCTGACCCATGCTCAAAGGCACCTCTATAAAGATGTGATGTTGGAAAATTATGGAAACGTGGTATCACTTGGTAAGGACTTTCCCTGTACTTGGCTTAGTACTTTCTCCCTTCCTTTTTCTTTTAATTGCTTTATTTATTGATGTGTATGGGGTCTCATATTAAAAATCAGAGCTCTCATTCCATATCATCAATATCTTCCCCCAAATTAGTTTTGAGTTGCCCCTGTTACATAGCAAGATAATTTTCTGGCTAACCTAGTTGTTTTCTGATTCTTTGCAATGAAACTCTCCCTGGGTGAAAAGGAGACACTTAACGTCTGTTCTCCCTGGATTCTCGCCTCCTCAGTCCTCTCATTTTCCATTAAGTGCTCTGTATTCAGCTCTTAGTCATGAGCTCCTTCCTAGCGGCTGAAAACAGATTAACCTCCCTCTACAGACTCCCATCCTCCTAAAAAGAACAGGGAAAATACAACCAACTGACTATTTCCCAGAATCTCCTTCTTTGCCCTTCTGAGTATTGACTTTTCTGAGAAATTTCCTAGACCTGTTCATTTACATGTTACCAGACCCCTGAATAAACCCTTTTCTCTACCCAAATGGACATTTCTTTCCTGTTTCCATGTGCAAACAGCGGGGTCAAGGTAAGCGTTAGCACAGTTCTCTGTTGCTCTACACACTGTCTTCTTCCTTCTCTACAACCAGGATTTCCATTTCCTAAACCTCCTTTGATCTCCCATCTGGAGCAAGAGGCAGAGCTCTGTGTTCAGGATGGACAGGACAGGGAGTTCCTGAGCTGCCCCCACCCAGGTGAGTGCCAGAGAAGCTGTCAGTCCCCTTTTGTGTTCCGTGTGACAGAATGGTTATAGAATGTTCTTAGTGGTGGGTCATCCATCCTGAAGGGCCCAGAAGGAAATCTATTTAGGAAATCTTAAGTCAGAGAAGACAAACTATTTGGATAATTATTCTGTCATTATCCAATTGGCTGTTTGCAACCTATCTAATACAGGCTTTTTGCAATTTAGTCCTCCAAAAAGGCTCAGACAATTCATCTCCCGTCTGTGTATCATTTACTCCAGTGCTCAGAGAGCATTGCCTTTCTGCCTCCAGTTGTTTTCTTTTTTCTTTTTAGGAACTTCCCCCATTTGGAGACCTGAGACTTTGACCCTTGCCTTTTCTATTCTCTCTTATTGTGAAGTTAGTTAGTTTCTCTCATGGCTTCAGCTCTTAGCTCTGATGCAGATGCCTGCCACATTGATAATGCTAACCTTTACCTCTTTCCTGGGCAGCAGTCTCATGTTTCTAACTCCTGGTTTTTATTTGAATATCCCATTGTCATCTGGAAAGCAACCTATCTAAAGTCAAATTCATCTCTCCCTCCAAGGCTGTCTCTTCATTAAGCTCTCCCTAGTTCTATATCTGGTTCTACCTCTTTCTTACTTTGTCTTTCCATTCCCTGAACCTCTTATCTAGTCAGTCATGAAATATTACCAGCTCTTCATTCAAGCTATTTTCTGTATTTGTCATTCAAAAAAAAACTTGTCCTTTGTTTCTAGGCCAACTCCAGCTGCTGTGTCCACAATGCCTACTCTTCCTTCCTCCCTTCTTTCCATCTAAAAAACATTTATTGAGCAACTATCATATGCCAGGTACATATGAGCAACTATCATATGCAGTCAGATAAGATATAGGCGAGCCCTGACTTACGGAAGCTTATTTTCTAGTGGGGAAGGCAGGTAAGTAAATAATTATATAGGACAGTATGGTGGGAGTTCTTGGGATATGTAGATAGGGATATGTACCTGGTATATACAAACATAGAGGAGAAGCACCTAAATCTGACCTGGGGACCAGAAGACTGCAGAAGGAATGACAACTGAATTAAGTTATGTAGGATAAGTGAAGTCATTTAGTTGAAAGAGAGGCAGAGGGGAATAACAAGTAGGAAAGTATTGAGGAGTAAAAGAATGTGAACTGTGAATAGTTCAGTGTGACCAGAGCCAAGGACTTGGAGTAGCCAGTGGGAAAAGTACAGGAGCAGTAGACAGGGGCAAGATCATAATTGAATGAGCTTTTGATAAACTGCAGACCTTTAACTTTATTCTTATAATAACAGCTAAGATTGATTAAGTACTTATTTTGGTGTTGGAAGTGCTTTGCATACATTGACTCATTTAATTATTGTGGATAGTCTAGATCCCATTTTATAGATATAGCAACTGAGAGAAGTTACAACATCCTCCCAAGTTTGCACAGGTATTAGGTGTCAGAACTAAGATTTGAACCCAGACAGTGAGCTGGGGCTCTTGACTTTACACTTTACTTCCTTTCTGTCTGGTTAACTATGGAGTGCCATTGAAGTGTTTAAAGCTAAGGAGTGATGTGATTAGATTTGACTTTTAGAAGGAATAATCTAGAAGCGATGTAGAGGTTGGATTAGAGGGGAGGCAGACTAAAGGACATTTGAGGGTTATTAAAGTTAGCTGGTGAGAATGCACTGGCAGTAGAAGTAAAGGAGACGGGATAGAGTTAAGAGATAATAAGAAATTGATTTGGACTCTGGTTACCAACTGTAAAAAGTAACTCCAGCTAGCTTAACCAAAAGAAAAATAATTTATTATTCAGGGTGTGTCAGGGAACTTAAGGGCAGGTATACATGAGGCTCAAGAAGGGATTGGAATGCCATCAGGCCCCACTCTCCAGCTGTCTTCTCTGCTACACTGTGGGTCTGCTTCATTCTCCTTTCTTAGCAGATGGATCTTCTCTGCTTCTCAGTCCCGATGGCAGAGCATTCCCTCCCCTACACGACATACCATCCCACCACCACTGGTTCTCAAATTTAAGTGCTAAAGCTCTAGCTCTCTTCAGAGCCTGGCCTTACCTGCTTTCACATCATGATTCCAAAGTTCATGAAGAGAGAATCTGTCCTGGTTTGGGTCAGGTCTTGCCCAGATCTAATCTGCCCTACCCAGATGGGTGGAGTTACACCACAGAAATATGGCTCTCCAGGGCCCACTCTCAGAAGCAAAGCAGACAGACCCCTAAAAAGGAGGCTGCGCTGGCACTTGAGCCCCTGCTTTGCAGCTCCCATCACAGGTTAACATTTATACAATGTTAGTGAGTACATATGAGAAGTTGAAGATGATTTCCAGTTTCCTATCTTAGGTGACTAGGTGTATGAAGTTGTCATTCACTAAACTAAGAGATTCTAGAGCATGAGTAGATTTGGAAGGATTTTTGTGAAGTTTACTCAGTTTTAAATATCCTAGTACTTTACAATAGTTCAGCCTATTTTGACCTTGCCATAATGTTAGTGATTTTTCAAGCATGGGAAAGTCAGTTACTCTTCCAACAGCTTAGCCATTGCTTCACCTCTGCCAGCCCACTTATTTCCTTTCCTCTGAACATCTGACATTTTAATTTTCTTGTTTAAGTATCAGCAGCCAAGACACGGCCTGAGAATGAGAAGGCAAGTTCAGAACAGGCAGTTTTTGAAAATGGAGAAGTCTGCTGGGTGAAATTTAAAAGTCTCCTAAAAGTTGTTTCCCAGGATCCAGAGGTTGGAGAAGTTTGTGTACAAGATGTCAAATTAGAGAATCAATGGGAAATACCTATGAGGGAGAAACTGAGAGAAGAGAAAGAACGCTGTGAGAAAGTGACCTTCAAGAAAGGAAAGAACCAGAAGGTACTTAGAAAAAACTCAAAATGTATTCCATATAGGGTTCTTACAGAAAAGAAACTCCATGAATGTGCCAGGTGTGACAAAAACTTCATCTGGCATTCTGACCTAATTCTCCATGAGCGAATTCACTCTTGCCAGAAACCCTATGTGTGTAATGAGTGTGGGAAAGCATTCAGGACGAAAAATCAGCTTTCTATGCACCAGATAATCCACACAGGGGAGAAACCCTTTAACTGTAGCCAGTGTGGGAAGGCCTTCAACAGTAGATCAGCTCTTTGCCGACATAAAAAAACGCACAGTGGGGAGAAGCCTCACCAGTGCAGCGACTGTGGGAAGGCCTTCAAGACCAGGAACCGTCTCAGGATGCATCAGATCATCCACACTGGGGAGAAGCCTTATGAGTGCAGTGGCTGTGGGAAGGCCTTTCAGTTTAAGCATTCCCTTATCATCCATGGCAGAAGCCACACTGGGGAGAAACCCTATGAGTGTGAGGAGTGCGGGAAGGCCTTCAGCGGGAGTTCAGACCTCATCAAACACACAAGAATCCACACTGGGGAGCGACCTTATGAGTGCAGTGAGTGTGGGAGGGCCTTCAGCCGAAGCTCAGACCTAAGCAAACACACAAGAATCCACACTCAGGAGAAACACTGTGGGTGCCCTCAGTGTGGAAAAGCCTTCAGCAGCAAGGCAGAGCTCACCAAACATAGAAGAATCCACACTGAAGAGAAGCCTTACAAGTGTAAGGAGTGTGGGAAAGCCTTTCGTCATAACTGTAAACGCAGGGCTCATGAACGAGAACACACTGGGGAGAAGCCCTATCGATGTGGGGATTGTGGGAAAACTTTTCAGGATCGGCACTGCCTTACCATCCATCAAAGAATCCACACTGGAGAGAAACCGTATAAATGTTCAGAGTGTGGTAGAGCTTTCAGTGGGAAATCAAACTTGACCAATCATCAAAGAATCCACACTGGAGAGAAGCCTTACAGATGTGAGGTGTGTGGAAAGGCCTTTCATCATAGTTCAGTCCTGAGGCAGCACAGAAGAATCCACACTGGTGAGAAGCCATATACCTGCAGTGAGTGTGGCACGTCTTTCCGTCAGAGCTCAGCTCTGATTGGACACAAGCGAGTTCATACTGGGGAGAAACCTTATGAATGTGAGGAGTGTGGAAAAGCTTTCAGAGTGAGCTCAAATCTTACTGGACATAAGAAAAGAAAACATAGAGTGTGGGGAACCCACAAACTTGATGAGAATGGGAAATCCCTCTCTCCGGTAACCTGTTCTCAGACTTTTTCATTCATCAATATTTTGACAACCAACACTTGAGGGTAGTGATTCTGGTGTTTACACTTTCTCATTTCTCCTTCTACTTCTTACACTGGTCCCTCTTGTCTCCTGTATTGGTTCTTCCTGGTTCCCTGACCCCCTAATTGTGAGACCCCACCAAGCCTTTGTCCTTGACCTTCCTATTCAGTGTCTCTTCAGTGAGCACATTCACTTCCAAGGCTTTGTCTGTCAATAATAGTCCTGTAATATTAAATACTAGTGCTTGACACATGCCAGGCATTATTCTTTACAATTTTTAATCATTTAATCCATACAACATCCCTATGGGATGAGGAAATTGAGGCATAAAAAGATGAAGAAACCTGCTGTGGATCACTTAACTAGTAAATTCTGAACAAATGCCCACTGAATGCTTAGACTTACCTGAGCAATTTCCATTATCCTGCACCACATCTCTCGGATATGAAGCTATACCTCAGTTCAGCACAGAACATTTTTTTAATTGATAAACATTGATCATCTTTAGCAAGTTTTGCTTTAACTTAAAGCCTGAATGGTACTTCTCCTTAATGGATCAGAATTGCTGAGATTCAGTGGGGGAACGGAGGCAGGGCAAGGGCAGATTTTAAAATTACAGATAAGCAGAAGTCAGGTATACACTGCCGAAGCAGCAGTGTACGTATGGAAAAAGCATGAAGCCTGACCCACTTTGTTATAAATACACTAAAAGGTCTTCAAGATGTTGATTTCTTAAATATTTGCTGTATCTGTTTGCATGATATATGAAATGCTCTTTCAAATAGATTAGTAAATTTATATCTATCTTTTCAAGTCTTTCAGTGTCTAACATCTATCCTTTCTCTTGCAAATGTTACAGGTCCTTACTTCAGACAGAACTAAATTAAATACCCACATGCAATAAGGCTGTTAAAATAGAAATTGAAAATCCTAGAAGAGGATGCAAATGTGTGTCAACTTAATTAACATAATGACCATAATTGCGAATTAAATTTAGTTCAAAGTTCCCTGACTGGTAAAGAGATGAGCAATGGGTTCCCCAGCATTTGTCAAAAGTGTTTTACAAGCTAATGTTTTTAAAAAATAATAAGTTTGAGAAATGCTGGCTAGGTGGGGGTATTTATTCCCTTAAAGACTTCTCAGGGTTTATACTATGCTAATGTCCTGTCTGAGTCTTAAACAAAGGAACTGTAAGAAGCATTGCTTTCCCAAAGTGATGGACGAAAGAATTCTGTTTGGAGGAGCACCTTCATGGACTCTTGTTTCACAGAAAACATCTTGGGAAATGGTTACACATTATCTAATATGGACAAGGAGTCCAAGATACACAATTTTCTAGTAACAAATTCCAAAGGGAGTTACATGACTTATTATACAAAAGACAGATTAAACATTGTTTCTTATGTTCAGTTTCTACAGGAAATTAGAGCACGTCCTTTATATGGCCATTTCTTATATATTTTTTTGAAGAAAACCAAGATGAAAACATTTAGGATATAACTCTAAAATTGTCTCTGTGGAGGATGACACTCTGTATATGTGGCTTTTGGATGATATAACGTGACTTAAGGGCAGAGTTTAGGATATGTCTGGAGAATTGGCAGTGCTTTTCCAATCTTTTTTGACTGCAAGGACCCCTTATTTGATGATCAATAAATTTTACCGACACTCTCTCCCCCATGCATACACACACTACAGGTAGTTTTACTTTAATGCTCGATGGCAAAATGTTGTCATGTTCTCCTAGAAAATCTGAGGTTTTGTTAATTACAACAGCATGTATATGCTTTTGGAAAATGTATACACATGTTCAGGATGTTTTTTTACCCACAGGCCATGAGGTTCATTTGGATTTTGGACTCAAAGTCCTTAGCCCATCATGAGAACCCTCCAGTGCATCCTTTCAAGTCACTTCTTCAGTCAGTCTTTTAACAGAATCTGGCAAGATTTCAATTCCAGTTTAAATTCTGGACAGTCCTGGAGTGTTGATGTTTTGTGTTATTGATCAGGGAGTCATGTTCTTCAGACACCAGTTAACTGGAAGGGGTGGCAAGCCTGACATTCCTCTGTGAAAGTTGAGAAGCCTCTGTACTGAGCCCAAATAGAAGACTTTTAGACTTCATCCTCACCAGTCCATCTTCAACATGACCATTGTCTCCCTAAAATATTCCTATGATCATGACACCTGCTTTTTTAAAAAATTTTATTTATTTTTATTGAAGTATAGCTGATTTACAATATTTTGGTTGTTTTAGGTGTACAGCTGCTTTTAAAACTCCCAACTGACTCTCAGTCCTGCAGTAAGAAATCCCAAATTACTATCTTGAACTCCAGGAATCTTTTGATACTTCCTGGACACTTAAAATGAACATCATGAAAAAAAACATTGAAGGAGTTTCAGATATTTTACCTGTGGAAAAAATCATTTAGAAGGGATCCTAAGGTGGAATAGACTCTGCTATACAGTTGTAAGTTTGGTAGACAGGCATAATGTAGAAGGAATTCAAAGATCAGATGCATAGTTGAATAATAAAACATGTTAGTGTTTCTTGAAACCCTAAGATTCTTGTAGTTATAATTGTGAAGTTACTAAAACAAGAGTTGTTGATTTAGTTATTTCTTAGAAATATCACCAGATAAAACTCACTTTTTTAAGCCTAATTAATTCTAAATGGAAAGACAGAAAAATTTCACCATGAACATTGATACCATGAGATTGTTTTCACTTTACCTGTACAGAAGAAGTAAAGAATGCCCATTTCACTCAGTTTTTAAAAGGGTGATAAAATACAGATTTCAGAATTAGAACCACAAATGTACAGAAGTGTCTTTCTTAGCTCCTACCTATGGACTGTAGTTCTATGCCCTGGGATAATTGCAGAGTAAGATTAACCCATTGCTCACAAGGTAGTCCTTCAAAAATTTCAAGACAAAAGCTTCTCTTTCCACTAGGTAAAATATCTGAAATTTCTTCATTGCCTTTTCACAATGTTCATTCTAAATGTTCAGGAAATATCATAAGATTCCTGGAGTTCAATTTAGGGTTTCTTACTATGGGATTGAGAGTTAATGGAGAGTTTTTAAAGCTGGTGTCAGGATCATAGCAATAGGAAGACAATGATCATATTGAAGATGGGTTGGTGAGGGTGGAGTCTAGACATCTTGGCCTTTGTTCCATTGGTCTATTGTCTAGCCCTACACCAATGCAAAACTGCTTAATTACTATAGCTTTAAAGTATCTTGACATCTGTAGGGTAAGTCCTACTGCTTTGTTATTATTTTTCAAGACTGACTTGGCTATTTTTGTCTAAGACTATACTTCTTCATGGATTGGAAGACTCAGTGTTATAAAGATGTCAGTTCTCCCCAAAATTGATCTATACATTCATTGCAACCTAAGTAAAAATCCCAAGGGTGGGTTTTTATGGTAATTGACAAATTGATTCTAAAATTTATGTTGAAATGCAATATAATTCTTGGCCAAGGCGGGAAGAGTGGGGGAAAGGGATAGTTAGGGAGTTTGGGATTGACATGTACACACTGCTATATTTAAAATGGATAACCAACAAGGACCTACTGTGTAGCACAGGGAACTCTGCTCATTATTATGTAACAACCTAAATGGAAAAATGTATAACTGAATCACTTTGCTGTACACCAGAAACCACCACAAGATTGTTAATCAACTATGCTCCAATATAAAATAAAAAGTTTAATTAAAAAATATATGTAATTCTTGGCCAAGAATAGCCAAGACTGTAAAAGGTAAAATTTTGTCTTTTACAAGTAAGTTTTGGAAAATATTTGTATGCCCTCAGGTCAAGAAAATATTTCTCAAACAAGACACCAAAAAAAGGTTAATTTTAAGGAAAGTAATTTAATTTTCTGATAAATTCAACTAGATTAAAATGAAGAATTATTTTTTCAAAATCACCATAAGGAAAGTGAAAATACAATTTTCTCATGAAATGAAAAAGATACTTGGAACAAATATACTTGGCAAATTATTATCTAAAATATTTTATGTTGAATCCCATGAATTGCCAAAGAGGTTGAATAGTGGCAATTTAACATGTTTCAACTTAATATAAACACTCCTATGAGTCAATAAGCAAAAGACAACCCAAAAATAGGCAAAAAGCATGAAGTATTTCACAGAAAACTGAAAAACGATGATGACCAAACACAGAAAAATTGTCCAGTCTCAGTAATTAAGGAGTTTTGACCACAATGATATGCTGTGAGATACCTACTAGGTTGACAAATTCTCTTAAATCTGGAACTTCATTCAAAGTCCTCACATAGAGAACTTTTTTTTTTTTGGTAGAGACTCAACCATATTTGGGCAATAACTTATCTATTACATGAACCCCACTACGCTGTAAGTTCCATGAAGGCAAGGAACTTGGAGCTGGCAGGAGGGAGAGGGGGAGATAGGGCGGAAACAATTTCCAAGCTAAGTCCTGGAGGATGAGAAAGAGACACGAGGATCTGCTCAGAGCAAAGAGAGCGCCCACCCCAAGCCACAGAGGTGTTGGATGCAGCTGAACTCGAAACCGCCCAGAGGGGCGAAGTCACCTAGCGCTGGTGCGATGTGTCCGGCAGCTGCGGGACGAGGTGCTGGCTCTTTCCAGAGCCTCTTCTCGCGTCTGAATAACTAGGGTTCCAAACACAAAGTGCGCTGCAGAGAGGCTGGAGGAAGAACAGTGATTATTTTGAACATAAATTATTCCTTCGGAGGCACTGGCAGGATTTGTATTGAATTACAAGGGCTTTCCCAGGAATCTGACATCTATTCATTTGTTTGTAATAAAGACTGTATGCATAAAAGCACTTTTTGTTCGTGTTACTTGATTCCTGCATCCGCAGGGCCTAGAATATACTGGCTGCTGAAATAGACAAATAGATTATTTGAGCGGTTATTTTCGGTTGAGCATTGTTCTAGGGCAGTTATCTATGGCCCCTGGGTAAACAGAAGTCAAAAGAGGGGAAGATAGGGACCGACTTTGTAGTATGTTAGAACTGTCCACATTGGGCGTGAAGAAAGGACGTCTAACACTAGGAAGTTTTAAGAAAAATACACACTTGGCAGCGGTGGGATTCGAACCCACGCCCCCGAAGAGACTGGAGCCTTAATCCAGCGCCTTAGACCGCTCGGCCACGCTACCACTTCCGGCTTGCTCTTCTTTCCACATTTTCCCTAGGAGTGAAAGTCCTCCCCTTCCAACTCCCGCATACGTTTCCCACCCGGGACTCTTTTCTGGCGTTCTTCCCACTAATACTTCCATAGAACTTCTGCCTGGTGTTCAGCCACCACCCATCCTGACCCCTGACACCCTGCTTCCCCACAGCTGGGATTAGGGCGGGAGGAAACCAGGGCATCCGAGACTCCCGCCCCTTTGGGCCGCGGGGCCCGGGTGGGTTTCAGGTCCGCCGTGGATGGGGATGTCCAGCCCGAGCCGCGACACAGCTGAGCGAGTCCGGGAGTGGTTTGGGCTCCTCCCGAGGGGACTCTAGGAAAGGAAGGCAACCCGACGAAAGGCGCAGAGAGCACAGTCCTCAGGAGGACCACGGTCTCTGCAGAAGGGCCCCTAGGACCAAAGGCGTTGGGCGGTTCATTTTGAAACGCCAAGATTCGAATCATTTAAAAGTATAGTTGCGGTCGGGCCGCGAAGGTGGCAAGAAGAATCCCCTGAAGCAGCCCAAGAAGCAAGCTAAGGAGGTGGACGAGGAAAATAAGGCATTCAAGCAGAAACAAGAGGAGGAGCAGAAGAAACTCGAGGAGCTAAAAGCGAAGGCCGTGGGGAGAGGCCCCCCCTGGCCACAGGTGGAATTAAGAAGTCTGGCAGAAAGTAAGCTGTTCCTTGTGTCTGAGGCTATGATGATCCTTAATTCCATTCCTGTTTAAACATCTGGATTCCCTGCCATAACATCTGTCTCCACCTTTAGCTAGAATGAAGCGTTGTCTTGGAACCTACTGTACATTTAAGAATAAACTTTTGTAAAAAAAAAAAAATCATACAGTGGCTCATCTTGTCTTTCGTTCTTCTCAGCCATTGCTGCCTTAGCTATGAAATCTGCATAAACCCAGCCCAGAATCCTGCCAAAGTGTGTTCTTAAGTCTTTGTTCTACCCTGAATTCTGTTCCACCTGGAATTAAACCAACTCATTTGAAATGGCAAAATATATATACATAGTTGCCGTCATAACATAATGCAATACATTGATAAAGTTGCTGTCTTAGGGCAGACGGTGGGGCGTGGGTGTCCCTGACTTAAAAGTTTTGGCTCAGACAAGGGTGTCATAAAACAAGAACACATTGTGCAGATTATGTCAAAAATAATATCTCGATAGAAAAAGTTAGCTAACTCTGGAGTTTCTGTTTGTTTTGGCATTCATCTCCAAGAAAGTCAATGCTGATAGTGTATTTATCCACTATTCCAATGAAAACTAGGCTTTCTTACAAATTCCTATACTAGAGTTGCTCATATGGAGTTTATTGCATAGTGCATGGGTGTTCATTTCCTGTGCCTACTGTAACAAATTAGCACAAACTGTGTGACTTAAAACAACAGAAATTTATTCTCTCACAATTCTGGAGGCCAGAAGTCCTATCTGTATCACCTCCCAAATCAAGGTGTCCTCAGAGCCAACCTTCCTCTGGAGACTCTAGGGGAAAATCTGTTTCCTTGACTCTTTCAAATTCAGGTGGCTGCTGGCATTCCTTGGTTTGTGGCCACATCTCTCCAATCTTCAAAGCTGGCATCTACGAATCTCTCTCTCTCTGCTTTGTCTTCAATGGCCTTCTCTTTCTAAGAAAATAAAAAGTAAAAAATTGATTTAGTAGTATCTCATTATCCTTAGCTGCAATACTTTAGCAATTACCAGTGTTATTTCCTAAGGAGATTACCTTAGGAAAATCACTAAGAAAAAGGATTCTCAAGAGAGTAAAAGCAACATAGTTACCCCTACGCTTGCTAAAGCCTCACTTTCCCCAGTTTCTCCATATATCCCAAGCTAGGAGCCTCTTTTCTCACCCGCTGTGTTATTCTGAGCCCTCTCCCTGGTTCTCTCTCTCAGTTCCTCACAACAGCAGTCTCCTCCCCACTATAAGACTATGTACTCCCACCAGTTCTGGATCTCTGAGGGCAAGATGGACAGAGTTTGATGGAAACTGACCACTTTGTGACAACTTTAACCCTCAGAGACACAGAATGGTACCCTCCCGCTAGGTGCTAACTGGTTCAATGCTTCATCCGCGTCATCTTGATCCATCGAAGGCATCAAATCAGAGACCAATTTTCTCTTTCTAGTGCTCACATTCCTACATGATAAACCAAGAGGGGGGAAACAGAAAAATGAAGAAATAAATTGAGATAAAGTGACTATATCAAGGAGTGGGCATCAGGAGTCCACTCATTCATTCAACAAGTATTGACCAAGTGCCTACTGGGTACCTGGGCACTAAGCTGTGCACTGGATATTCAGCAGAAACACCTGACCATTGCTGTCCTCACCCTCAGAGCTACCAGGGAAGGCAAACATTCATCTAGTCATTACAACTCAGTGTTGTGAATGAAGGAGGGCTGGGTTCGCACTTGGCTGAAGGAGCTAACTTAGTTCTGGAAAGGCCTGCTTGGAGGAATTTACGAATACGCGGAGGAATGCGGAGGCTGGAGTGAGACAAGCCTGGCGAGAAGCCTAACAAGGAAAAGTTTGGGTGGAGGGCGGCTGGGGTCGGGATTGCACCTGCAACCCCTTCCGCACCCCACAGGCCCGCTCCCGGAGGGAAGACACAGATTCCTGAAGGAGCCAGGGGTGAAAAGTGGAAAAAAGGAGAAAGAGGAGAAGGAGAATGAAAAGAAGAGGAGGGCTTCTCCCAAAGCCCCCACGGTCCGGTTCGGGTGATGGTGGTGAGGCCCCCGTCAGCTGCCGCTACCTGACGGTTTCCGGATCTATGATTCTAACATTCCGAGAAATAATGAGCCCAACCGTGGTCCTCAGGTGACAATCCCTGCAAGGACTAAAGGCCTACGCCACACAGAACAAAGAATCTAAACGGTATACAAATATATCCCTCTTCCTGTTCCCTGGAGAGGCACTTTCTAGTACCCTCTATCCAACTGTCAGCTCAGTGTGTACTCTCTAGGAAGCGGGGAGGACTGCCTCTCTCGCTGGTTCTAGTTCAGTCTTGGAGAACCCACAGCTTCAGTCCGACAGTTGGGTAGGCCGGGCGTCAGAGTGAGATTTGGAACCACCCTCACAGGTTCCTGGAAGTCGAACAGGGAACTCTGATGACCTTCTCTTTAGAGACTAAATTGATGGGAAAGCATTTAAAATTAGTTCCTCAGGACCGACCGACTTGAGAAAATGTCTGGGAAGCAACTCTGCACCTTTAGGAGGTGGACTTGTCAGCAATTGCCATCGGAACATATACAGAAGTGTAATTCTAGCTTCACCGGGTATGGCCAGAAAGCTTGACATTGAAAACCTATGCCATCCCATCAGCAGCAGAGAATTTCCAAATTTTAGTTCAGAATTCAAAGAGTTCGGATTTCAAAGTCCTGAACGATCCAGGAGCTTTCACAATTCCTC